CTTAGATGATATAAATCTTATCAAATCTTTTTCCTTTCTACGATACACGCCACGCTGATCTTTATTAATACTTGACTATATTTTATATATTATTCGATTGATTCATTGCGCTGAAAATAGTAGTTTATAATTATAAGTAGACATCATTAGATCGACAAGAAAAGCATTCTATTTTTGGTCGAAGCAGATCTATGGTGCTATGCTTACTAATGTTCATGTATGTAAATTTACTAATTTGTAAGTCTATATACAAATATATTTGTAAATTTATAGATTTACAATTATAAGTAAATATATATTATAAATATTAGATCGATAAGAATACATCAAATAAGAAATTTGAAGTACATAAGATTCTTTAATATAATTAATTATACATTTAGATCCAGCAAGGAACTTATATAAAGACAAGAACCAATGCAAAGCTGCTTTTACTGCTGAAAACGCAGTCTTGATTTTTAGCAATGGCAGTGAATTTTGAAAGAAAGAAAGAAGTATATCATTAATATATTTAATATATATTCTTTAGCCATGATTACGAGGTGGAAAAAAATTCTTTTGCAGACAATGCAACGGCAGCAGTTCCGGCTATGAAGGCTGCGAGTACCTTTGCTGTGGCCGTGGCCACGTAACCAGGACTGAACAGATCTACGAAAGATGCGACTGCAAGTACATCAGTTGTTGCTACGTCAAGTGCAAAACATGCAGTCGGATCGTGAAGACGTACGAGTGCAATTAAGAATAACGCGAATTGTCCGGGACAATTGGCGATGGAGATGTAATCCACTTGACGAAGAAATAAATTCGCGTGCGTGAGCACGTTGCAAATTAAGCATAAAATTAATTAATTAATTTTGCGAGATGCGTTCATATGAAAGTCCCGATTTGGGATGATAATTATTTAGGCGATAAATTATTTACCGTGAACGTGTACGACTCTCTCTCTCTTTGGCGTGAGGGTATGTAGTAAAAAGAGTTATTTATACCGCTACTTGCTATTTATTCGATGTGTGTGCGTGTATTGCGGCAGATGATTGCAAATAAACGCGTTCATTCCTGCCGATTCAGATTCGCGGAGTTAAATGTAAATCGGCGTTATCGACATCGATGTGTTATCGTCGTCGCAACTTTGAGAACGTAGATCAGAGCAGTGTACATAGAATGCTCGATATTTCGATGTAACCTACATTTACATTCTGCAAATACACGTTGCTTGGAAATGGCAGCCGACTTTATCCTTTTTCCTGATTCTCACAATATCGATATATGTACATACAATTTGACATACGTTTGTGTCGAATGTATGTACGGCAAGATTCAATTTCCAAACTGGAAAACTTGCGCTTGATTATGAATAATTCAGCAGCCGAGAGGCAAAGCGTCGCGAATTCGTTTCGACGGAAACGGCGATCAGATAATATTATGCTTTGAGAGAAAAAAATTTCTTTCCCGCTATAAACGAAAGATTTATACTTAGATTTATGCTTTATTATATTTAATGTAGAAGTACTTCATGAGTAGTACCGATAAGTATTACTTTTTATGAGACAATGAAATTATATTGCCAATTAAAACGCATATTCTTTACGAGCACAATATAAATGTGTTACATTAATTATACGGATCATTTGACATTCCATATGTTTATTAAAACTGTATTTATTTGTTAATTTGAGGAAATTCAAGTAATAAGCGAGATGTTTGCGCCCTTTCTTTGTTACTGTGATGCAACAGAGAAAATCCTTAGAGAAATTTATTAATACTGTAAATATTAAATTAATTAGTGATTAATTATATATTTTTGAACAAATTATATATTTCGATTAAAAATACGTTACTAAGAATAGTGCTTTTAATATTCAAAATAATTATCATTAATTATATCATTTAATCTTTCACTATCTATAAGATCTTTGAAGTTATCATAGATATATGTATATTTAGATTGTAAATTCTAGCAGATAAATTTAAATGTAAAAAGTTAAAAGAAATACAATTCAACTTGTAAGATGGTAAAGACCGATTTGCTCTAGTAGCAAAATTTATTGGCGTAATATTGTTTAACATATTCCCATGCAAAAATTTATGTCTCGTCAATGAATGTTGTGCTATTCGGGTATGTTAAAGCTTTGACAAATCTCTCTCTCTCTCTCTC